AAACACAAAACGAAATTCCTGACTTATCAACTGAGAAGCCACACATGGAGGCTTGTAAAGAGTAAATTGCCAAACTAAAAGGAGATCGGTTTAAGGAACTCTCAGGATGTATCAGCTGAGAGGGGAGGAAAAAATCAAAATAAACCCCGACACAGAGGATGATTGCAGAAATCCAAATACCTATTTAACAAGAATTTCAAAAGCTGAAAATAAGAGAATGAGAAAAAGACAGTAGTTGAAGAAATAAGGCGAGAGCTTCCTAGCTCTGAAGGAAAAATGAAGAAGCATCAGCCAGACCAGAGGTGCTTGACCACCAACACCAACAGCTCCAGAGAAAGCATGATTTGCCACTGAGTTGGGGTAAGGCTGCACTCCTGGCAGCTACAGGAAGAGGCTAGAGATAAAACTCCCCGGCCCCACCCCACGAGGGATGGGAAACGTGCTAGACGCAGCAGGGAACCAGTCCCAGGTAACCAATGGCACCTGCTGCTTGGTAAACAATCATTTCAAGGGCTCAGCAGAGGCACCTGAGGAAATTCCACTGACACTCAGGGTTGCTAGAGTAGCAGACACAAGCCGGCCTTTCTCCGGCCTGATGAATGAAGTACACCTGCCCAAACCCACAAGCAACATCATACTCCCTGAGTTTATTAAAGACAGAAATATCTGCCATCGCTGGCTCCTGCTGTTTAACTTGGCGCTGCAAACCCCTAAGAGAGGGGCAGAGACCAAGGCCAGGGAAAAGAACAGTGAAGCCATCTTGCCATTCCCAGAGAAACCAACCCTAGAGTTCAGCATGGACACTGAAGGCCAACACAAAGCTCCAACAGCATCCCTTTATGCCAGAAAGCACCATTTAAAAATACATGATGCACAGCAGGGCAGTTAAAGGCCTTAGATGCCCACATCCCCAGTCAGAGCAGGACCCAGCTCCAGGTGTGTGATACCACCCAGGCAAGACCTAGACAGCGCTCCCAGCTCCTGGCAACAGCTTGGTGCAGCTCCAGCTGGTGGAAGCATTTGCAGTGAATGAGGGTCTCCCCTCTCTCTCTCTCTCTCTGCCTTTCAGATACAGTAAATAATTTTTTTAAAAAAAATTACCACTCACAAAGCATTAAAACTATATTTAGAAATGCCCTAAATAAAATGTGTAATGCTTTCATGATACTATAAAATGTTATAAAAAAAAATATGAGATTTCCTCCAAGTATATAAATTCAATGAAATGAAGGGAAAAAAAATCCCAAACGAACCGGGAAGAATTCCAGGGATGCCAAAGTTCAGGAACAGCTAAAATAATTGTGAAAAAAGAACAAAAAGGGAACCTATCCACTAAGTACTTCAAATTCTTCATTTTATTTTTAAAGTGTGGTTTTACCAAAGGAACAGACAAGTGAACCAGAATAGAGCCCGGATCGCTTCTACATAATCATCCGTTACGTAATAGTAATGGTATGAGAACTCTGGTACAGAAAGGCAGACAATCAACAGTGGGAGACTGACATTTAACAAAATTAACATACAGCCAGACTGCTACCAAATATATAGGTAGCACATTCATGCACATTACATAGTACACGTTTATTAGCTGGAATTCCATATTTAAAAGCCCTTAAAATTGAAAAGCTAGGTCAAGAGAGATTTTTAAGTGGTACGAAGGCCTATGGAAAGCCTTATCTGCTTATGCTACAGTGTGCTGATTATGAAAATAAAAAGATCTAAGAAACATCTGGAGGGGGTGTCAGAAATGAATGCAACGACATGAAAAATCAGACCTGAGGACGAACAAGAAGAGCCACGCTCAACCACAGCACCAGGGAACACTGCAGGGCCCGGGTGGCCAGTCGTCCCAGGGCATGTCGCAGGCCGGCCAGGGCCACTCCAACCTGGCTCACGGCGACGTTCTCCGCACAGGTGTGCCGCCTGCAGCTCGCTCCGCAGCCTGCCAACCACCCGGTACACACTGCGTACCCGTCAGACTGCCTTGTTTTCGCACTCAGGTTTGCGGGGTAGGCTAAGGGCCTTTGCCACTCAGAACCAAAGTTCACAGACCGTCAGCACTGCCTTAACCCCACAGCTTGTGCAGAGTGCTTCACCCCAGCCCTGCAAGCCACAATCTGCATCTTAGCGAGATCCCGCTGTGTGCCCCGAGAAGCAGTAAAACTAAGAGGAAGCTCCGGCCAGCCTCAAGAGTGATGTGGCAGCTCTACAGTGGGCAAAGCTGCGATTCTGGATTCTATTTGGATTATCCTGGTCCCAGGTTCTCCGCTAACACAGAGCTGCCATTCCATCCCCTATGAGTAAAACCTGTAACACCCTTTTTTACCCTGAGTTCATCTGATCAGCAGTCCTAATTATCCGAAATATATCCCAGACCTAGAAATTAGAAAAAGATAAAATGAAAATAAAACAAAACACAACAAAACACTCCAGGCTCGAGCACAGATGTCGGAGTAGCTGAGGATCAGGGCTTCAGAGTGTTAGAATCCTAATAAATGTGGCGTTACGGTCCCATGCCCACGCAAGACTGGACTCAGCAAACGCAACGAAGGCCAAAGGGAAAGAAAGACAACACAGAGTTGGGGTCGAGCTTACAACGAGGATTGATGGTAGAAGGAACAGTTTTGACATTTTCATGGTTATTTAGTTTTGCACATCTGTTGACACCTCAAAACCAGTCATTCCAATCTTAGAGACGTGATAGTCAACCTTATTAGACTCCCACCTGGGGAGTCCATTTGGCAACGGAAAAAAAACAACTCAGAAGCCCTCGCCTGATTGTTTTGGGATGGGATCCAGGTTCGGCAGTAGATTAAAGCTTACCAGGAGATGGTTAGTGGTTTGGGGGTGTCAGTGGAGGGCCCAGAGGCCCGGGTACCGGGAGAACCCCAATTATGAAAACAAAAAGATCTAAGAAATATCTAGGTGGGCAGAAACTAACACAACATGAAAAATGCAAACACCTGAGAGTGAACAGGAGCCCGCCAGCCACAGCACCGCGAACATCGCGAGGCCCAGGCTGAAGCAATTACTGCATCATTAGCAAGAGTTCCTTGGGGTGCCTTTGGTCACTAGGACTTCTTGCAAAGAAAAAAACCACTTTGTACATTTGAAGCCATTTTGACAGAAAGTATAGCCACCCAGACTGTCCAAACAAAAGACTCAGAAAAGGACAGAAAATCCTCAGGTCGGGCTGGCTGGCGTCAGAGCTCCCAGGATGGGCCTGTCCCACGCTGGGGAGGCCGGCCTGTGTCTAAGGCCACACAATAGCTGTCGTTCCCCTGTCCTGAAGCTTCAGTGAAGAAAGTGCAAGCCCTCCCGGCAACACTGCCCAAAGAGGCACTTGGGTATCCTTAACTCATTTTCATTTGTTGGAACTCCCTTCCCAAATAATTCTCTAATGCCGCAGAATGGCGTGCATTCTCTTGCTCAATCCCAAGAAGCCCTCATGCAAAATCCATCCTGTCAAAAGCACCAAAGTGCTAACAGGAGCTCTGTTCCCAAAACATTTAAACTTACCAGCAACGGAGACCCGTGCATGGTTTGTTTCTTCCTGCTTACAAGAGCAGAGGGAGCACAGACGCAACTGGCAAACTCCACAGTGGCCATTCTGGGACCTGAAGTCATCACCGCGGCTGGGTCCCTGGCGACACTGGCTCCTGGGTGCCCCCTCTCCCTTGCCCCAAGAGCCATGCCCACAGCAGTGTTCAAGTGGGACTTATTCATCACGTCTGACCTCAAAGCTTTGGCGCAGCCAGAGACTTTCCCAACAGGGCTTATTACCAAGGTTTTCATCTTGCTGTGGGGGCTGCTCGGGTTGTCAAAATCAGCCTGAAGGCCTCAAGTTTGGATATTAAAGAGCAACACACTGGGGACTGCGCTAGAGTTTGCTGGGCTCGTGCCCACTCTGCCATCTACGTCACCGCCAGGAGAAACAGAACCGCTGCCTTCCACCTGCCCACGGATCCGGTAGCATCACCCTCACCGGTCACTCATGACACTCTAAAGACGTGATACTGGTCGTCTTAACGCTCAGCCAGGAGAGGGGATAAAAAGTGGGGCACCGAGTACCAGGGATGGTTGGCAGGGTTGAGCAACAAACCCGGAGCTAGTTCCATATGTTTTCTTTCTGCTTTAATTGCCTTAATGGGCATTCGTTACCAGCAAATACAGTCGAACTGTTCTCCTTGTTTGCTGTAATTTACAGAGCGCCCGTTTGGATGGTATCAGCTGAGGCCTGTGATGCGGGGGTGGAGGCAGGGGCTGGTTTTCAAGAACTCATTTTAAATGATGCTTTTACTGATGAGGCCAAGGCAAAAGGGGGTAAGACACCCATGTTTCTTCATCACGTTTCGCAACAGCTATTAGATGACCACAGCTCCATGCCAGCCATGGAAAATCGAGTCTTCCATGTGTGACGTCCATGGCGCGCTCTCCACGCTGAAGCCGCTGCTGAAGGCCTGGGGCACCCAAGGCCGGGCTCGTGGGGTGGGTTTCTTCAGACCGGGAGCAGGGGTGCCTGGCGTCCACCGTGAGCTCCCAGCAAAGGCCCGGGGCCCAGCCCTGGACTCACAGGCTGCACCCACACAGGACAGCTGAATTCAGAGGCCAAGGGCGAAGAGGAGGCCAGCACGACCCAACAGGGGGCCAAGGTACCTCTCCACCACCAAGCACCAGGCAGGACGACCTGGCGCGGCCTTCCAGGTGCTCCTGAACACTGCCGGATGCCCAGGCCGAGGAGCACCCTAGGGCCCTCTGCGCTCCGCCCCTTCCGGCCTCAAGCCCGCCTCAGCCTACCGCACGCCCCGCCCCGCCTCTCTCTCCGCCCCTTCCTGCCCCACACCCCGCCCCGTCCTGCCCTGTCGCTAGGGGGCGCCACGCCCCGCCTAGATATAAAGCCTCGGCGCTCTGCGCGTCAGCAAGTGTCCTGGTGCAGCGTCCAGGAGCTCCTTAGCTTGTACGGAGGTGCAATGGCCCAAAGCCAGGCCTCAGGGATTAAGATGTCCGTGCACCCCGACCGCCTGTGGATCTGGGACAACCACACGTACTTGGACGAGAACAGGCGCACCTGGATACCCATCATCATTAAGGTACGGCAGCAGCGTATCGCCCTCTCGGGGTTGGGGAGGCCCGTTAGGGTGAGGCTGAGGCTTCCCCATTCCCCAGGACAACCCGAGATGAAACGGCTCCGGGCTGGGCTGTCGGGGTGCACAGGTGTCCTCCAGGCCAGGAAGAGGGTGGGTGAAGGCGCTGGGTGTTCCTCAGGCACCAGATGCCGGTCCAGGGGCCAGTAGCCTCCTGGGCTCCGTAAGACCCTGGAACCGGCATGTTAAGAGGAACCCCAGGCGGTTTATGATGTTTTGTAGGCGGAACCCATTGCCCTGCATGTGGGGCATGTCACACCCGATCTATTGGTCTGTTCATCACTTGGTGAGGTGTAGCCAGCAGTGCCTTCTGACCTCCTGAGTTTACTCAAATCAAGGACAAAAAACAAAGTTGTAACTTTCTATCCATAATCTGATTCAAGTATCCAAGGGAAGTTTAACAGAGCTATGTTAGAACAATTAATAGCACACAGCCCGGCATCTCCTTTAAATACGAAGTGCGTGGAGAATCTCAGGGTTGGAATTTTAGACTTCGAATTACCATCTCAACTTGCATTTTTTCCTTTGACATTTAAATGTTTCCAATCCATAAGTCAGTTATTTGGAGGAAATGTAGGTGAATATTTCTTTTTTGTCTCTAGTTGTGAAATACCCTCTCAGTAAAAACCCAAAAGAGGTTTTTTTGTTTTTGTTTTTTTTACAGAATTGGTGTGATAAATGCTGCTCACAAAATAACTGGCACATATGTGAGCGCATCCCTCCTATACACGACAGCACTGCAGCTCTTAACACAGATTCATTTAGAAAAGGAGGTCCAGAGGAGCCCAAGGTGGTGACAGGAAACGGAAGACTACTCTGATAACACGGTCGCTTCCGTGCCCACTCCTGGCGATTTCCACGGAGTTCTTGTGAGATAGTGAGTCCCCACTGACTGTGTAGAGTATTTGGACAAGCTGCTTCCTCTGTGGAGAAATATGCACAGGACAAACACGAATGTCCATGCTTAGTGTGTAATGCCAAGTGTGGTCCTAGGCCATGGCCATTTGCAGCCAAGGGATGGCACCCTCAGTGCCCGGGAGGTGGGTGATGAGGTCACATGCAGGTGCTGTCCTGCAGGAGGCAGGTAGAAGTGATGCTGGGGAGGGGGTGTGGGACAGGAACCTCGCCCCCCACACCCACCCCCAGCCTGGAGTGGGACAGGGGCCTCCCCCCACGCCCACCCCCAGCCTGGAGTGGGACAGGGGCCACCCCCATGCCCACCCCCAGCCTGGAGTGGGACAGGGGCCACCCCCCACGCCCACCCCCAGCCTGGAGTGGGACAAGGGCCTCCCCCCATGCCCACCCCCAGCCTGGAGTGGCCTATCCACTTTGCTCTTTGTTCCCCTTGTATTTTGTGGATCTCTTTGCTTAGGGCAGAGCAGCGACTATCACAGGGTTAGATTTCCTTGAATTTGTGAATGGAGGTTCTTTTCAGTGCTTGATGTAATTGGTGTGTTCCAGCTCTGTCTTAATGGATGTAGGGAGCACACCCGTTTGATGTGCCGCTTTATAGAGCTGGCGGGGGAGGGGGCTGGCAGGCAGAGGAGATAACAGGCCTCTGATGGTAGGCCCAGAAGTAGCGAGGAGCCTGAAGGGCTGGCCCCAGGCGGAGGGCGCTGGCCCTGAGGGGAGGATGCTGGCACAGCAGGGGGAACAGTGAAGCAGGGCCTAGCTCAGGCCTGTGTGAACTGCTGTAATCACTGCCTGTGGTCAGACAGCAGCTCCGGAGCCTGCTGCCGTGGCCCCACTGCCAGGTCACGTAGAACTATTCACAATGCCCTATCACCAGATTCAGGCCCAGAGACCATTTTGTGTGAAAGAGGAGATGTAGCAACATTCTTTTCCCTTAAAAATGCTTATTTTTATTGATAAGTCAGTTACAGAGAGAAGGAGAGACAGAGAGAATGATCTACCTGCTGATTTGCTCCCCAAGCAACTGTATTGGCCAGAGCTGAGCCGATCCGAAGCCAGGAGCCAAGAGCTTCTTTTGGTCTCCCAAATGGGTACAGGGTCACAAGACTTTGGGCTGTCCTCAACTGCTTTCCCAGGCCACAGCAGGGAGCTGGATGGGAAGTGAAGCATCCAGGACATGAACCAGCGCCGATATGGGATCCCATAGGAAGTGAGGCAAGGACTTTGGCCACTAGGCTATGGTGCCAGGCCTGGCAACATTTTCTAAAGCAAAGAAAAGCCTATGTCAGCTGGAGGCAACACCAGACCTCACTGTTGGCAAGTTCAAGGGCCCCAGGGCCCACCCCAGGACTTAGAAGCTTGGGGGAAGGGAGGGGAGGGAGAGGGTGCTTTTCCAGGCCCCATGGATGCTTAGACCTGAGCTGGCCCAGCCAGATTCCCGGAGAGCAGAGAGTGGGACCCAAGATCTGCACTTCAGGAGACAGTGGTCACTGGCATCTCACACCTGAGTGCCTGCCGGGCAGGGCTGGGCCTGTGGGCACCGGTGGAGGGGCCCTGGCCGGTGGACACAGTAGACATGCCCTGATCTTTTTTCTGCAGACAGAGGGCAAACGCCAGGTGGTCATGCGCCAGGAAGACATGGCCCTGGGGGAAGCCATGACACCGTCCCAGCTGACCAATTTTGAGCTGCCGCTCCTGTGGCAGCGCTACCCCAGGAACAGATACCGAACATCAGACACCAGTTTCTGGCGCATAGTGCATCATACCAAGGCAAGCAGAGCCCCTGCCCCACGCCATTGGGATATTGGGGTAACCTGCATTCCTCGCCCATCCCCACCCCACTCCATCTGGCTGCTCTCTCTACTCCCAGCTGCAAAGCAAGGGGAAAATTAAGGCCAGACGGGAATCCCTCTGGCGTGGGCAGTCATGAGCTGGTGGGAGGAGGGACAGCCTGCTGGGACCTCCCCTGCTGTTCCGGGCGAGCGGATGGAAGCAGCATCCGTGGGGCTGTGGTCTCAAGCTGCTCCCCTCTCTCCCTCAGATCTGTGACAGGGAGGACATGCTTCTTGAACAGTTGCCGGATCCGGACTCTTGGTAAGCTCCCTGACTGCCACCACCAGGGGGTCTGCAGGATGGGAGGGAGGCTGGCAGGCAGAGGAGACAACAGGGTCTCCCCTTGGCCATAGCTGCTGCCATCTGCGCAGTTCCTTGCAGGCCACCGTGGCACTGCCATTCACTGTCCCTTAAGCGGTCAGTGCTACTCCCTGGCAGTAGCTTCCGTGACTCAAGCACAAGTTGAGGAAGGATAATGATGTACCTGGACTTCAAATCCCCATCTTCTGCACGCCAGGCCCCAGCCTTGGGGGCCAGCGCTGACCTGCACCTGCACCCCACACTCCCGTGTCCTTACACACTCCCCACCCCATCCCCCGCCACCACCACCCTTTGACTGTCCCTCTTCCTTTCTGGCTGCCTGCCGTGTTTGCCTTCGTCCCTGTTTGCTATCCCTACGTGTCCTCCACCAGAAAGAGCCCACCCCAGGGCTGCCGGACCTGCCTGCAGCCTTTGGCGCCCCTCCGTCCTCAACACTGCCGCCTGCTGCGTGGTTTCCTCGGGATGCTGCAGCTCTCCCTGCGCCTTGGATTTTCTCCGCTAGTGGGTGGCTTTTGGCATCCCTCCCTCCGCCCCTCCAAGTGACTGGTGTTCATGCCACAGCTCCTGTCCCGGTCCCTTCATTCCGAGCACATCGGAGGACGGGGCCTAGCCATGAGCCTGGGCCAAGCCTCCGAGGCCCTGGGCCTGCTCTTACAAGGTGCTGAGGCTACCAGGACAGATGTGGCCTGCCCCCCCCCCACAATCCCTCAGGCTGCCCTTCCCTCCCCCGCCCCCATAGCAGGGACAGAGGTGGGGGTCTTTCCTCTGAGTGTTTATGCAATTGTATATATAATATGAGCATTTTGTAATATTGATTAAATTAAATGTAAGGCTATTCATTGAACCTTGTGCCAGTTCAGCTTCTTTCTCTGACCCACATTCCAGTGGAGAGGATTAAGAATAGGCAGACAACCAAACAAGAGTTGAAAAGGCATGGATATTTCTGGATTTAATGTATTTTGCTTGCTTTGAAGAGAAACTCAAATACATATAGCATATAATCAACACTCAAAACTGTTTCTTAAGACCTCATCTGAGGACCATTGTAGCAAGTGACCTTAAAAGGTCTTTGTCAGCCACTCTCAGTGCTAAAGGTGCCTTCGGTACAGCCTTGTGCCCCTCGCCTGCAGATGGCCCAGCCTCTGCCCCCTTGACCCCACAGAGGCCCAGCCTCTGCCCCCTCCACCCCACAGCGGCCCAGCCTCTGCCCCCTCCACCCCACAGCGGCCCAGCCTCTGCCCCCTCCAACCCACAGCGGCCCAGCCTCTCCACCCCACAGCAGCCCAGCCTCTGCCCTCTCCACCCCACAGCGGCCCAGCCTCTACCCCCTCCAACCCACAGAGGCACAGCCTCTGCCCCCTCCACCCCACAGCGGCCCAGCCTCTATGCTCACTGGTTTTGTCCATGCACTGGCAATTGCTTGCTTCATTCACATCGCAGCCCGAGTCCCACATGCCTTTCCCCAAAAAGCTGACCACTGAAGTCCACACAGCCTCCCTGCCCACCTCCTGGGATCTGCAGCCACAGCCAGCTCTGACCTGGATCCTGCCCCCTGCTTTGATTCTACCCAGGACCTTCAATATTGCCAGGGCATGCCTTGCAGAGCAGGGGCCGTGCTGGGATGAATCCTGGTCTTATGACTTGCACCTGACTGTGAGGAGTGAGGCTGCTTTGAGGGGTAAGTGCAGTGTTCCACGTAGCTCAGAGGACAGCTGTGTCCAAGCAATACTTCTCTCATGTGATGTCTGACCGCACACTTCTTCCCTGGCACTAGAGCTCTCAGAAGCAGGGGTACCACCCACACCAGGGTTTGGATCTCAGCATTTTAGCCCTGGCACTTTGCACAGTGCTTGGCGGAATATGAGTCTGGGCTGTAGGAGCAATTACTGCTACAAGTCACCTTGTCAGGAAGCAGGCGTTGGGCAGGACCAGAGACAGGAAGGCAACCTTGGCTGGGGAGTCAGAGACATTGGTTAAGAGCTAACAGAGCCTTGTAAAGTGTTGCCAGAAGGATCTGTAGGGTGGTGGGCGGGTGGGGGGCCTTCCAGGCAGGGCGTAGAAGGTTCCGTCCCCTCTCAGCTGTTTCGGAGGCTCCTCGCACTCAGGCACAAGTTGCAAGACCAGCGAGCATGGGAGCATGGACACTTGCGGTGCCTACGTTCAGTTCTGTTGGGTGACCATCCAGAAGTGAGATGGCTGCATCACATCAAGTTCTACTTTCTAGTTCTTGGAGGAATGGCCTGCTGACCTCCACAATGGTTGCCCCATTTTGTATTCCCATCAAAGGGGCCAATTCCTCCACATTCACCCTCTTGCTATCACTGAGGATATTAGCTTCATAAAGTATCTGCAATCAGGGAAGGAGGTTCCCTTTGATGCTCGGCTTGGTGTTTGTTGTGAAGGGAAGCTGGATTTTGCCACATGATAAAGCATTTGAGATACAGCTTAATGTGACTGAGAAAATGAATTTTAAATGTTATTTAAGGGCAATTAATGACTGGTGACCAACCTGCTGCGTGGCATACCTCTTTTGGTTTACTACTGCAGACAAAATTGAAATGACCCATATTTACTTCCTCGACCTCCCAGACAGCGCCGCACGGGCAGCCCCCAAGCTCGTCCCACATCCTCACACCCTCCTATTTTTGATAGCTAAATTACATCATCATGATCCCAGTTTACAATTAGCATTTTTTTACCCTTGTGTCTTTTATTTAATCTTTTTAAAATCATGTTTTGGTAGGGGAAGAGTGGTATTTTATCACATAGATTTTGTATATTCTTAGCCTCTCTTGCATATCCAGCACTTTTTCTTGAATCCACCACTTTTCCTCCTGATCCTTTTGTCTGCTTTTCCATTGTTCTACCTTACTCCATTTCTCTCTGCTATCCTACTTGCCCTGCTGAGTTCAATTATGAGCACTGAGGCTGGAAAACAAGGCCACCACATCTGGCCGGAACCTCATTGTGTATTTAATGTCTACTTTGTTATTGTCACCGTATTTTGCTTACAAGACAATTTACAGTGAGAAAATGCCTTTAGTTACATTAGTTCTAAAAGATCCTAGCCCATTTAACTTAAACCTCCAGCCATTGAGTGAATCCTAGGTCCAAAATAATTTAGAAATTTAAGTGGGAAATAGTCCATAAAAGTGCTCTCACCAGTACTTTATTATAATGACCACTTACTGTTTTGAATTGAAAAATGTCAACAATCTTTCAAACCATTTTTAAAATATGAGAGGGTTCTTTGAACTTCTTACACACTCCAACTTGGACGCTGAGCCAGTGATGATTTACCCAGATGTGCCGATCACTGGGGGCTCAGGACTTGGAGGCCCCAAAGGCTGAACTCCAGGGCACTTGGCAGGTGCTGGTCTGACCTGACACTGCTGTCCTCCAACATCGACCTCAGCAGCCCCCTACCTAGGACAGCAAGAGGCCACATTCCCTCTCCACCTACTGTCTCGGGTGTAGGAGTTAAGCCTTTGTGTGTTCGGTTTCCTCTGACCCTCCAACTCTAGAGTGAGTCATTTTAGGAGTACACACACACAGTCTTACATAAGGGCAATGGACTGTCATGAACTGTTGGTCCTTCACCTGCTGCACCTGTCTGCTGAACCATAACAGCCTTCTAGACGCAGCTGAGCACCCCACCCTCCCTCCGTGTCACCCTTCACATTCCTCTAAGGGTTTTAGTGGGGATCCGCAGCTAGGTCCTGATTAGTAGGGCTTATGATGAATTTTTCCTTGTTTCACATTCCTCCCCATGCCACACTAGGAGCCACAGGACCACAGATGGCAGGCGTCTAGGCACATCACGAGTCAGGTTGGAGGGTTTGGTGAGATCTGTGGGTTAGCATTCCAACCACAGCTTAAAGCGGAATAGAAGGCACTCTAGATAGACTCAAAGTTTAGTGTCCAGCATGTGGCATAACATGTACAACCACTGCCTGTGACCATGGAATCCCATACAAGTTTGAGTCCCAGCTGCTTCACTTCCGTCCATCTCCTGACTAACGGTCTGGGAAGGCCATGGAGAAACGGCCTGAGTGCTTGAGCCCCAGCACCCCATGTGAGACCCAGCTGAAGCTCCAAGCTCCTGGCTTCAGCCTGGCCAAGCCCTGGCTGTTGCAGTCATTCAGTCATTCAGGCAGTGATTCAAAAGAAGGAAGATCTCTTTCTCTAACTCTGCCTTTCAAATAAGTAAATCTTTTTTTTTTTAAAGGTTTATTTTTTATTAAAAAGTCAGATATACAGAGAGGAGGAGAGACAGAGGGGAAGATCTTCCATCCGATGACTCACTCCCCAAGTGAGCCGCAACGGCTGGTGCTATGCCGATCCGAAGCTGGGAACCAGGAACCTCTTCCAGGTCTCCCACGTGGGTGCAGGGTCCCAAAGCTTTGGGCCATCCTCGACTGCTTTCCCAGGTCACTAGCAGGGAGCTGATGGGAAGTGGAGCTGCCGGGATTAGAACCAGCATCCATATGGGATCCCAGCACGTTCAAGGCGAGAACTTTAGCTGCTAGGCCACACCGCCGGGCCCTCAAGTAAGTAAACCTTTCAAAAAGAAAGAAGGAAAGAAAGAAAAAGCCCCAGTCATGGTAACAGCATCACCCAGTAAAATCCTCAGCAGAATCTCTCCGGGCCCTTCTCTGCCTCACACAGCCAGTCCCTGCTTGGCACAGCATCTGGCTTCTCTGTCTGGGGTCTAGTTTTTAATTCAATACCACGTCAATGTGATAAATAAAAGACCATTCCCCAAATAATAAGTCATCTCTCCTAAGGAGGCAGAGCTGCTGCGGGCAGTTATGGGTTAGTTTTTCCTTCTCTTCCTGCCTCTTTCTCTCCTTTCTGCCTAGCATGCCTGCTGGGTGAGTGCTTGAGCTGAGAAGAAAGCGGGGAGGAAGGAGGAAGAGGTTTGTAGGAATCATACCTGCTCAGGGACACGTTCCAGAAAGGGCTGTGAATTGGGTCAGCTACGGAAAGGTCATTGATAACCTCCAGAAGTGGCCAAGTCCAGAGCACAGAGCTCTGCCTGGTGCGGACCTAGGGCAATGCTGCCAGGCAACAAGCAAGGGGCTCCCTAAGAC